GACTTTTCTCTACCAGACTAACGTCGGGGAAAGAGAAGTGTGAAAGAAAATTATTTGCTAGATTTCCACCAAAGTGTAGGGAAAAGGGAATCCTCAGCTTTACTCCACTTTTAGAGTACACATCTCCAGTTGGCTAAAGCCTTGGCTGAGGTATTGTTTTTATAGCTTTAAACTACATGTCAGAATACTCTGCATTGAAGGTAAAATACATTTTCCACTTGTCGTCAGGATTAGCACATACCTCCAAATCTATCTTAGCTCTTAGAAGCAAATTTCCCATTTCTCTGCACCAGGAATAGAAAAGATATATAAAAATAGTAAAAAAAAAGAAAAAAAGAAAAGAAAAGGGCCGGCTGGTTAGCTCACTAGGGATGAGCCTGGTACTGACAACACCAAGTTAAGGGTTAAGATCCCCTTACTGGTCATCTTTCTAAAAAAATAAATAGTAAAAAAGGAGGAATAAGGTAAAATATATATAGAAAGTTTTATGTCATTGCCACCAAATGCTTTTGAGGCCCAAAGAAGTAGCTAAGTGGCTAAAGGCACAGCAGGTGGTAGAGGTTAGGTTTATTAAAATAATTTTTTTCCTTAATAATATGTGGAAGATCTAGAATGAGGCCAAACTGTAACTGCTTTGAGATGCCACAATGGGAGAGAAAGTCCAGCCTAATTTACTGAATGAATAAAGAGAGGAAGGCTTCCTCCCAGGGGTATGGGGATAGAGCTTTGGCTCTAAAAACAAAGCCTTGGACTCATCTAAATCTCTTAAGATTTTCCTTCCCCAAAACATCTCGAGTGTGTAGAAGAGAAATAGCAGACACCCCTACCCCCACTTCTTAATCCTGGTGTCAGGCCAAAGCCAGGAGAAAAATAGGGAAATCTCCCAAGCACAGGAGCTAGTGCAAGGATGTGTCAACTTAGGTTAGATGCTAAATTAAAAAACAAAGGAAAGAACAAAGTACTCTAAAAGGAGGGCCTAGGTACATCTACAGAAGGAAATATACAACCAAGGTCTACTTCTCAGTAATCAAGATTTCCAATTAATCCTTTACTAATCACTACTGCCCTTGGCAATGACTGGCTGCCTTAAGTGTTGTCTCATGTATGTACAAAGGATTCCTAGCGGGGTGAGGGTGGGGGGCCTATCAGAAGGACTGGATGCCATCCAACTCTTTCTTCCACTCACTCCAAGAAAAACGTAATAAGTTTCAAGTCCATTTTATTTCCTCTTTCCCACAAATTATGTGGCAAAGGACTTAAGTAATTCTTAAAAATAAGGGGGTACAATGGGGATGAGGAAGTAAAGTAGCTGGAACATCTAATTGGCTATGAACCTGAACAGGTCCAGGGTGGGCTCAATTAGCCAACACCCTTTTGAGTCAGACACAAAAAACTGCAGCCTGTATTTGTGTTTTCAGTTGGCACTGCAGAGCTCACTAGCCCCTCCACCCACATCTGCATTCTCAACTTTTGACCCTTGGCTAGGTGAGAACAAAGAAAAAAAAAAAAAGAATAAGGTAACAGCAATAATCAAGTTCTATCATTTCAATGATCTCTGCCTTATCCCCCTCCCCTCAAACTGGTAACTAAGCTAAAAAAAACTTTCTCCTTTCTACCCCAGCGGTTAGTCTGAAGTAACTTTGGTATTTAGTTTTACATCGCACTTGCTCCTTTCCTTTACAGCCTATGTGCTTCTCTTTACTTCTGTGGGGAGAACAGAATGTTTACATAAGAGCCGATCTCTCTCACTGGTGTCTCTCTCGTAGCCTTGTCTATGCAACCTCAATGAGTTATCACTCAGCAATTGTGAACAGCAACTGGCCGGACTTGTCCATACAGTTACTCATTCATAAACAAGTATGGGAAACACCCCAATACCCCAAAACCCATTCTGATGGTGTTTGTGTTACTATGTGTACATACATGAGGGGGTAACTCATCCTTGCTATACAAGATTTGACTTAAATAAAACATTTTATTTTTTTAAAAAGATGACCGGTAAGGGGATCTTAACCCTTGACTTGGTGTTGTCAGCACCACACTCACCCAGTGAGCTAATCAGCCATCCCTATATGGATCCGAACCCATGGCCTTGGTGTTATCAGCACCACACTCTCCCGAGTGAGCCACAGGCCGGCCCTAAAAACATTTTAGAGGGAGGAAATTATGGATTTTCTATAACACGTCCAGAAAGGTCAATGACTAAGTTTAAAAGCTGTTGCTTCTTTAGGTGTAGAGCTAGGAATCAGGTGGGCAAGTCAAGGTGCCAAGAGAGGACAAGGAAGAAGTAGTGAGCCAGATTCCAGAAGCTACTAGTACGGTGGTACACCCTACTTGCTGGGCGTGTTCCTAGGCTATTTCTGAAGTGTCTGGTGACACATATACGTAGCTTCACATCATCAAGGCTGTTATTCAGAGCCTTCTACCCTGCCAGTGACCCAAGCCTGACCCAGATGCGGTGACTACTTCTCTTTACCCCTTAAAGCCAACATTCCATTTTTTAAGCCTTACTGAGTATGAAAAAAGGGATGGGTAAGCGAGAAGGGTTAAGTGCAGCTTCTGCACAAAAGATTGCTAATATGGAGTAAGAGTAAATGTGGGGAAAGAATTGGCCAAAATGATCCCTATTCCACACGCCCCCCACCCCCCATTCTATGCTTTAAAAATGCTTCTTGACTCACAATTGCACAACTTTTTGAAGACACACAAATAATTATCCATACAATATATCTTACTTCATCTCCAGCCACTCCCTGAACATCTTGCTCTCGCCCCCACCCATCATCCCTTTCAAAATTCAATTATACAAAAGATCAAATAGAAAACCCAAAGACCATGAAGATCTTAGAGGCTAAGATTGCCTTCAGTGACATTAAGTGCAGAATTCAAAAGGGATAGCTGGACAAGACCAAGGTGAAGGGGAAAGTCAACCACACAACAAAGAAAACCATACTTTATTAAACTGCAAAACAAAATATTGGGGAAAAAGGTTAAAAAAAAAAAAGGAATGGCTGGAAGAGCGGAAAATTGCAAGTAATCACGAGGGACGAGATGGATGGTCCATGGTAACTTTGCATGTGCCTCAGAAATGTGCAGGCACATGCACCATTCTCTCCCTCCCACACGTACCCTTTGACCAAAAGCCAACACAATTGTTATCTTCAGAGATATATCCAGGCTTTTCTTTCTGCATCTGTAGTTGGTTTCAACTTCAGCCCTGGACAGTCATGTCGGATCACTGCTGGAGAAAATTCACGTTTTCCAACCACAGGCCTGCTCCACAACGTAGCAGTTTCAGCTCCTGGAGAAGTTCCCTCCTATTTGCACTCACCAGAGAATCCAGGGGCCCTCAGTCAAAGCCCCATCTCAAAGAAAAATGTCAAACCTTTACAACTAGTTATTTTATTAAATGATATTAATACACATTTCAAAAGGATTTCATTGTTGCCTCTAAAGCATGTACTTGTTTTGTTTTCCACACTGAACACGTGAGAATATCAATCCAACATATCTAATTTTAATCTTAACAAGCACCCCCACCCATTAAAAAAAAGGGGGAGAGGAGGTGGAGGGAAGCAGTAATTTACAGCGGCTTCAAAACAGTAACAGCTGAAGCTTAATTCTGCATGAACTGTTAACTTCAGGATTGATAGTGAATATTCTGCAATTAGGAAGTTTAGCATATTCACATTATCTAGATAGGTTTGCTGTACCATATATATGACAAACATTGTATTCCTGTTATCGGAAAGGATAAAAGTACTATTGTCTGCTCATTTTACCCACCCTGGAATCAAACCAAATTCTACTTACTCTCAACTTTTGGGAAGGTAGAGGGGAGCAGGGAGAGAGCTCTCATCTAAGCTGACTGAAGAGTAAACTCTTACAAAAAAATACTTAAGGACCCTATTTATGATACTGTATCACCAAACTTTAAATGGTACTAGTGTATTCACAACCTCTACCAATTCTCTGTCTGTGATTTCACAGTGAACACCAAGGACCTTAGTAACTCATATTCTGCTTTCAAATGAATCATGTCCTTGCCAAGACACACTATGTTATGCTTTTTTTAAAAAATATCCTGTTTATTTTTTTAAACTCAGATTGAAATACAAAAGTCAGAGCATGGTCACGGAGTTTTAAATCACAGACAAAGAAAGAATAAAACCCCCTTTGTTCCATGTTATGAATACCAGAATTGTCTTTTTTGTTTCCCTATATCACATATATACATTGTTGTCCTCATTTACTGCTGTAGACAAATTTTCTTAAAATAGCTGACAGTCTCATACAAACCCTCACTTCCATCATGAAACACACTGAGGATTTTGTGGCTTAAAAAACAAAACAACAATACCTCACAAAAAACCAACCCTTACAAGTCCATCTGTACAACAAAGTCTTCCTTTCATGTATTAGCCAGCATGCTTTTGAGGACAATTACCCTGCCCCAACATTCAGGAAGCCACTTTCCTGATAGCCCCACATTTTCAGATAAAATCAAATAGCCTTTTCAAGTAAACACTACTTTTAGCTTAAACAAGAGCAGCAGAAAGAATTCACATTCTTTTATTCTAGAATGAAAAACATCCCACTTAATTTCTGCGGGAAAAAAAAAAAGTCTATTTCAGATTTCAAAGTCAAACAATTTCCCCACCCCATACCTCCATTCTCTCTCATTTATACTTTTCTCTAAACAAATGTCTTAGGACTCAACATAACTATACTTTCTTTACTTTGCTATACTACATATCCCATCCCATGCACAAGGTCATGGTATCATGCATTTTTGTGGGGACAGCTACAGGGCAGAGGCTTAAGAGGGTCAAAGAAAGGATAGTTGACTTAAGACCAGATACGCATTAGGAAGATTAATGACTTGCAGCACCCTAACCACAGAACACATGGTGAGCCCAAATAAATAACATGTAATAAATTACACAAAACCCCCCAAGCTATGGTGCATGCTTGATTTAAGCTGCTCTATCTCTGAAAAGCAAGTTTATTCTGAGACAAAGAATCATCTATCACTACACTGCCCATGCTCCCCCATCTTTAATATTCCACTGGAGAAATCCAAAGCAACTCCCATACTTTCTATAGTTAGTTCTATAATAACTTGGGAGAAAATATATTAAAATTGCTAGGATTCCCTCAGAAACTCAACACGCACTGTTTTAACTCATCAGATTATCAGTGTGTACGTTGGGGTAAAACACTAAAAAAAAATAGTAAAGCAACATTTGCTTTTCAATGTTCCTAGATGTAAAGATGTAAACACTCGAATTACAGTGATTGTCTTTTTCCTGAATACTGGTTGTAGAAATACAAATTAGCTTTTCAGTCTAGGGAGACAGAAAGCATTTCTTCATGTACAATGATTAAAGGGCAGAAACATTCTTTATTTCCTATTGGGGGTGGGAGGTGGAGCTAATGCTACCTGTAGAACGGGGTAAATTTGGATTCATCAGGTCCTTCTGTTTCTCTGTAAAGGTATGTATAGTAATGTGTCTCTAAGACATATCTGAAGAGGCATAATATAAAGAAAGATGCTATTGAGTCTCTTCCTTGGAAATACCAAGAAGGGGTGAACACAGGACTGAGGCAAGGGGGAAAGGAAGACAAAGACAAATACTTTCCATTCTCTAATAGTTAACCTTTGCTGAAAACCACCAATGAATATCATTTACATTAGGGAGGCACCATGGTAAAATTAATGTCTGCTTCTTATATTAAAAAAAAAAGCAGGGATGATATTTCAGTTATCTTTTGTATCAACTGTCAATTGTAGTGACTTTCTTTCTGGCCGAAGTAAAAGTGGAAACTGAAGAAGGAAAAACAGTCAAGAAAGAAAAGCAGAAGGCAAGAGCTTGGTGCAAGATGTGTGAAACTACCTTAAAAACGTTTCCTCTCTCGTTTACAATGGGTAGGCAGGTCACATCACACCATTAATAGTTCCTTTCCTAACTTCACACATTGTAGTCACTCCTTCTATCAACCCTGAAATTATATCCAGCCCCTTCTCTTTCATCCCAAGGATAAAGAGAAAATATTTTACTAGGATAGAATGAGGTTTGTATCTTCTCAAAGTTACTGCCTGATAGTACTTTGGAGGAAGAGGCCAATTAAAAAAAAGAAAAAAAAAAAAAGATTTTAGGAGGATGATAAACACAACTTCAGCATGCCTTTAAAAACAAAACATAACAAACCCTACAGGTCCAATGTCTCCCACATTTCCTCCCTTGCAACATCTGTTGGCTGTCAGCAAGGCACAGAGCATACAGGGAAGGGAGCCAAACTGGTTAAAGCAGTCACTTAGCTGGAGAGAGAAGGGGACAGGAATCTTTCCACTGACTACTTCATAAGCCAAGCCCAAAATAACATCCCAACATTGCACGTTATTATCTGTACTGATGGAAGTTTTATTTCAAATGTAATAATACTCAATAGACGGAGTAAAATAGAGATTGTTTTCCTCCCCACTCCCTAAGCCCCCAGTCAAATTAAGAAGCTTTGGGGTTTTTTTTCTTTCTTTTTTTAAAAAATACAAACAACTTGGGGAAGATAGGTAAGTGCAATGGGAGGGAGGACTGAACTGAATAGTGAAATGTAAGCATATACATCTTTTTAATTTGGAAGAGAGGCCCCTTGTCATTAAAAAAAAAAAAAAAAAACTGAGGGAAAACAAATAAAAACAACAACAATAAACCAAACTCCTACATCCAATGCTCTCTAGACTGTCCAAAATGCCTTTCCCTTGGTTTCCATTAGTACCTGGGAGGGAAGAATGGGCGTTTTGGTGCAAAGAACGGAGGGCCCCTAGCAAAAGGTGGCCTGGGTCTCTTTAAACTGTGAAACGGGTCTCTGCTGAGAAAAGGTTCCCTAGGCCGAAAGTCTGGCCGGGGACTCCGTAACATCAGACCACTCCGGTTGATAGTGTCTCTGTGTGAGGGACCCAAGGGGGGCCCGCTGCTGCTGTTGCTGCCTCCCCCACCTCCTCCTCCATGGGCTGGGCCCAGGTGCTCCAGAGAATGGGCAGGTAGGCTCAGGCTCTCACGTACACGGCTAAGGCCAGGGCCGTTGAGGTCCCGTTGGGTGGGACCCCCATGGTCCCTGGGTCCTGGGAGCACCCCAAAATGCTCAGCCAGGGTCCCCTGAAGGAGGGAACTATGGTCCTTGGGAAATACTGCCACAGCCCCTGCCACTCCATGCTCCGCCAACGGTGGGGTTGGGAAGGGTACAACCCCAGAGTGGTCAACAGGGGGGGGAGGAGGGGGTGGAGTAGAAAAGGGGACACCACTCCCACCACTGCTGCTGTGTTCCCCAGGGGGTGGAGGAGGGGGTGGGGTAGGGAAAGGGACTCCGCTGTGCTCTCCAGGAGGAGGGGGTGGGGCAGCATGGGCCAGAGCTGCCTCCTTTGTGAAGGGGTTCGAAAGATCCACAGAGGGCAGATGAGTGGGTACATCTCGAGAGAAGATACCACCATGATCCTTAGGAGGGGCAGGTGGGACAGATGATGGCCCCACTGGCTCTCTCTGGAAGGGTGTCCCATGTTCCAAGGGGGATGGGGGGAGATGATGCTCAAATGTTGAGTTGAAACTGTTGGAACGAAAGCTGCCGACACTCTCCTGAAATTGGGGTGCCCGTTCTTTGTATGATGCTGTTTTAAAGCCAGTGAGGCCTCCGCTGCCCCCACCCCCAAGGGATGCCAAATCAGAGGCACTTGAGGGGCCATTGTCAAAAGAGCTGCCTGATGTGCTCAGATCAAACCAACCCACCCGTGAAGCCTCACGCCCATGTCCTCTATTTCCCTTCCCAGGAACTCGGATGGACTCTACGGTCTGTATTGGCTCCCCTGACATCCTCCTATTGGATGCATTATGATAACCCAATGTTTCTATAGGGGCCCCTTTTTCTTCTGTGCTATCAGGCAAGTCTAGGCAGGAGGAGGAGACACGGGTTTCTATGCGGTAGTGCTCTTCTTGTTGCTGCTGATCAGTGGTGGTCAAGCTGGGCTGCGTGAGGTTTGAGAGACTGACACCATCACTTGAAGTGCCCTTGCTGGGGGCCTGGCCAAAATGCTTATCATCTGAGGGCTTGCGAGAGGCATTTTTAAGCATATTCTTAAACTCAATCGTCGATGTGGTGGAAATGGTGGAGGCCAGGACTTTCTCCACGCCTGTTGTGGGAGGGTGGCCCGTGGGAGCGGCAAGGGTATTCTGCGGAGAGAAAAGGGAACGATGTGGGACTGGGTGAGGAGAGTCTGGGTACTGCTTCTGTGGCAAACTGAGATGCCCAGTAGTAGATTGAGACAAGCTATTGTGGTTGGAGTCAGGGGTGAAAAATGAATCATTCTTACTCGGTGATGGTGACCGGTCAGACCCAGGTTCATTCCCTCTTAGGCTGAAGGCACCAAATAGCCCAGGGGAGGATGAAAGATGGTCACAGTTCTCACTAGCATCCAGGAGGGCCCTTACAGATGGAGGGAAGGAAGACTTTACCCCAAATTCTTGGGCTCTGTGGCTATAACTGGATAAGATTGGCTGGTACTCAGTGGTATCAGAAAGCTTGCTTGATTTCAGGATAGATTTGGCTGGTTTCTTCTCTAGGTTCATCATGGCAGAGGGTGGAGGCCCTGAATATTCAAAATCACGGTAATCCTCATCTTCTTGGAAAGAAGTATCTGGATAGAACTTTTCCTGTGAAGAGTCCATTAGGGAAGATGGTCTTTCCATTCCATCAGAAGGCTGCTTATAGGGAGATTCACTGTCCAGGCCAAAGGGTCGATATGTAGATACAGAATTGGTGAGCTCCCGGGGGTAGCTTTCATCTCTCCCAGGGGGTGGTGATCTTGTACTGCTGGGTGTTGAGGAACCAGGGCTAATGATCTTAGAAAGCAGGGACATAGTATCTACACTGCTGGATGTGGGTTTGTCCATCATCTCATCCTGGGTGGGTGTCCCACTCCGTTCATCCCGTACAGGGGTTCCATCAATGTTGTCAATTGATGTGCTAGTAGGGCCACGCTGGAAGTCTGAGGGATGGCTCTCAGAGGGGGCACTGGACCCCAAACTGCTCAGGATTGGGATGTTTAAGTTTAAGCCACTGAAACCAGGATTACCTTTTAAGAAGTTGTGAATCTTCATTTCCAGGCTTGGGGAGGTAGACTCTGATTCCAGCTTTGTCTTGGAGATCTCTGAAGATTGGCACATGGCAACTTCAGTAGTTGGGGCAGCAGAGCTACTGTGGGTACCAATAAACCCCACAGAGTTGGACGGTAGTTTAAAAGTAGTGCTTGGGAGCCCTGGGCTTTGCCCAATTGAGGCCTTGCTGGCTGAAGTTGAAGAGACTTCAGAAGTTGATGAATTAGGAGAATAGTTGAAGCTTTTGGGAATAAAAGATTGGGTATTGGAGGGCAGATTTCTTCCCTTTATGGTAGAGACTGTGGTGTTGGCAGGGGAGGCTGAAGTGTTCTGGGATGCAGCTTCACTGGATGGAACTGGGTTCCCAGTAACACTCTGAAGTAAAGACGACAGGCCTGTAGAAACAAAGATTAGACGAGTTAAAAAGAACAACTCCCTTCCATACAATAAAAACAACATAGGCTAATTGAATATTTTCATTCATTCTGGTGAGAACCAGACAGATGTTAAAATATGAGGCTAACGGCCCCATGGCTCACTCGGGAGAGTGTGGCGCTGGGAGCGCCGAGGCCGTGGGTTCGGATTTCCTAAATAGGGATGGCCGGTTTGCTCACTGGCTGGGCGTGGTGCGGACTACACCGGGCAGAGGGTTGCGATCCCCTTACCGGTCTCAAAAAAAGAAAAAAAAAAGAGGCCAAACAGAATCGAGACCAAACAAGCAATGGCTAAATGTCATAGAAAACACCAGATCTATTTGTCAATATAAAGGAAAGCAAATGACTCAAATGTTTCAGTACAGTCCAGAAACAAGTCCAACATAACACAATAAAAGGCAACAGGAAGGGGGAGATTTTAATGTCAGAATCATGCATAGTTTAAATAAGGCAAAGAAGGAAAAGAAAGGAGGCAAAATTATTTTTAAGATAACACTTTAAGCCAGTATTTCTTAATGTTTGATCTGTGATAATGTTTCTCTAAATGCAAATGGATATCTGCCCTACCATCCCTCCATGACTGTTTCCAATAAGTTAATGTACACTGTTACTCTCAGGAGGGAGACAGTATGTGCAAATTTCAGAAATTTATTTGAACATTCTATCATTGTAACGTTTTCACACCATCTACTTCTATTTTTTTTTTTTTTTTTAAAGATGACCGGTAAGGGGATCTCAACCCTTGGCTTGGTGTTGTCAGCACCACGCTCAGCCAGTGAGCAAACCGGCCATCCCTATATAGGATCCGAACCCGCGGCCTTGGTGTTATCAGCACCGCACTCTACCGAGTGAGCCACAGGCCGGCCCAACACCATCTACTTCTAAATAATGTTGCCTGGTTTGGTTTTTATTGTTATCCAGTAATCTAATACTCAATAATATCCAAATAACTGAAATACTGTTTACTTGTTATTATCCTCTTGGGTGAAAAAAAAAATCCATGTTTCATTCCAAAAACATTTTTTTCTTTTTTTTTTTTCCAGTATGCAAAGGCTTAAGGCAATGTTTTATTTCCATAATTAATTAATCTCCAAGAAAGACATTTTTTCACACTGGTAAACACTCAGTCTCAAAAACCTTATTTGTCATCTCCCAAACAAGACTGTCAGTACCTTAAAGGCAGACAAAAGCACCTTTTTCAGGAAGCATCTCTTGCTAGACTGGTGTTAACTTTTAGGAAACAATGTTTTTTTTTGTTTTTTTTCCCCCCTTTTTGTCTTTTTCCGTGTCCGGCAACGGATCGCAACCCTCAGTGTCGCCCCCGTACCGGACCGGGACTGGCAATGGGATCACAACCCTTGGTGTTGCTCCCGCACCTCGCTCAGCCAGTGAGTGGGAACCGGTCTGTATGTGGGATCCGAACACTCGGCGGGAGCGCCACCACGCTCCCAAGTGGCGCACTGTAGCAGTGCGCCACCAGGCTGGCCCAGGAAACAATGTTTTTAACTCTTAGTTTTGGTTGTAAAATGTACAATAATAAATATATAAATATATAGACACAAAAATATATATATATATACACATAAAAATAAATATATACCACAAAGACTTACAAAGCCAGACCAACAGTGGCACTGATCTTTTCACAAGAAAACACACAATCCCGATTCTATAGCTTGGAAAATCTACTGATTATTGATTTGTCCAGATTGACAATGATGAGATTCAACACTATTCACTGACAGACAAAACCTCAGAAGTACTGAGAAAGAATTCCTTGGGACACAGATTGAAGTTCATCAAAGCAAGCCACTCCTGGGGCTGGCCCGTGGTTCACTTGGGAGAGTGTGGTGCTGATAACACCAAATCAAGGGTTAAGATCCCCTTAACAGTCATCTTCATACAGAAAAGAAAAAGCAAGCAACTCCTCTAGAAAATTTTTTAGAAAAATATTTCACAAAGAGATAAACAGAGGTCCTATAAATTCAATTACGTTTTGTAAAATTTAACCAACTTTGGGTCATAAATGAAAACCTTTAAAACACATTTCACCCAAATTTATAGCTTTGTCATTCAATACACTAAACCTGTTCCTTAGTAATAGTAATGATATGGTGAAATAAAATAATACTTGTTGATATTTCAATTAATGTTTCTTCAAAATTTCAATTTTAACCCATATTTGCTAAGAGACTTAAGGTCTGAAGAATTTCAAGGCCACTCCATCCTCATAATATTTTAATTTTTTGGTGGCTGGCTGGTAAGAGGATCTGAATCCTTGACCTTGGTATCATAACACCGTGTTCTTAATCAACTGAGGAACCAGCCAGCCTGTATTCGTAACATTTTTAAAACCATCTACTTCTAAATAATGTTCCATGGTTTTTGTTATACAACAGTCCAATATCCAATAACATTCAGACAACTGAAAATACTGTTTACTTCAGTTATTTATCCTCTTGGGGGAAAAAAAAAATCTGTGTTTCATTCCAAGAAGTTCCCTGGCTATATATAATTTCCCCCTTCTAATAGTTTAATTTTAGTAGTCATTGTTCTCACCAAAACCAGAAGTCCTCAAGCACTAGGATGTGGTATATGATAATGTCACATAATTTTAAAAGATATTTCAGAGTATCTTTCATATATTGTGGGATAAGTTCTTCAAAAGACCATCTTGTTAAGATAGGCTCTACTCAGATTTCTGGTAATAAGTAAAATTTGTCTCCTACCATTAAATATTACTTTTCTTCAGTCTTAACAAGCCAAACTCTAAGCCCCTTTGCCCACTGATGTTTTTCTTCTGCGTTGAAAGTCTGTTAATAAGGGCCGTGGATGACACAATCAGAACAAAGTTCTAAGAAATTATCTTTTACAATCTTTGAGGAAATGCCATCTATTTAAGTTGCTGGACATAGTCTTTTTAAAAGTCAAAGAGAATTCCACTCTCCATAAGGAAATGAAAGATGATGATCTACCCTGTTGTCCCACAAAGGCTGTTTTCTGGGGTTTGCACTTCTCGTTTTGTCAGAACTCACCCAGTACTGTTCAAATTTTGCTTGATGAGAAAGCCCACATAATACTGTTGCAGCAATTTGATGAAAGGAAAAGCTTCTCTTTAAGATGTAGTGTTGTATCTATATTAGAAGCTAAAATGCAAGTGAGTTCAAGATTTTTACTGCAACTATAGGATGATGACAGAAGGGGGATTAAAAGGGAGAAATCATAAATAAATATGTCAATCTCTCAAATGAATAATGTCCTTGAAATCTGTAGGACAATATGTGCTACAGTATTATCATCAATTCTTTATTGCTGGCACCAATACATGGAGGCTGTAAATTATTACTTAATAGTATCGTTCTGGGTAACAAAATTCTAATATATCTTAGGACAAAATTCATTATAATTCTTGACTGATTCACTTTTAGAACAGTTTAGGAAACAGAAAATTAATAGATACCTATACTGCTCTATTCATATGGAGCAGGGTTTTCTCAGCCTCAGCACTATTGACATTTTGGGCTGGATAATCTTTTGTTGTTGGGGGTTGTCTTATGTATTGTAGGATGTTTAGCAGCATCTACCTGGCCTTTACCCACTATATGCAGTAGTACCCACACTTTGACCTAGTTATGATAACCAAAATGTCTCTAGACATTGCCAAATATTCTCTGGAGGCCCATGGTTGAGAATACTGATATAGAGTAAAACACTCCACTGAAGAAACTATTCTGGTATCTGTGATTCATTGCATAATTACACTGAGGTGCTTAATGGAGGGCAAGACAGTAGACAGCAGGCAAACTTTATGAAAAAATGTTAGAAGCAGACGCTTTCAGGCACAAAACAAAGCTGACAGAGATATTCAAATGTAGTAGAGGTTATAGGTAGGTGAAAACAAAAAAGACGTACTACATCTATAAATAGAGGCCTCTATAAAATATTAGGACATAAAAAAAGAGATATTCACGTCTCATAAGATTTTTAGATTCACCTTTCTTGCTGTCTTTAGTTTCAGTTAACATTAAAATATATAAAACTAAACATACTAACCTGTACTAAAAGCTGGGATTAATGCAGCCCCTAGGGGTGTCAGGATGTAGGTGAAAGAATACCGGACTCCAGTCAAGAAATCTGGCTTTTAGTCTTGGCTCATCACTGAATAGACAGATGTGTGACCTTAAGCAGGTCACATCACCTCACTGAGCCTTAGTTTCCTTACCTGAAAAGGAGGGGATTAGACTAGACAATATTTAAAGTCTCTTTCAGTTTTGATATTTTATAATTTTCTATACACTGGGTCATAGATAATAAATATAAAGAGAATAATGAATTAGCTGTATTATACATTTTCTGGTTTTTCCAGGATTAAGCCAGAGACAAACACTCAGAATTCAAGTCCCTCTGGCACATGTCAGTTTACCTTGCAGTGCAGGGGCTGACGGTGCCTGGGTTTTGGAAAGAGCAGACAGAATGCTCTCTGGGGTGATCTCCACCTTCGAGAGGATATTTGCCAGAGGGTTGTGAGATGCTGTTGGGGCAGGTGCAGGTGTTTTCAGGCCACTGGTGAGGTTGCTGGGACTGGTAGGTGTTCCTGGAGAAGGTCTTGACGCAGGACTGACCCCTGGCGGCAGAAAGATGAACTCAAGAAAATGCAATTCAAAATGACCATTCAATTCATGACACCCTTCCACTCACTTCAAAGAATCTGATATGTTTAACAGGAATTCTTTTGTGACAAATCCACAAAGGGTCCATATATCATGGCATGTACAAAGAAAAAAATCTGAAAATCGGATTAAGATTTGCTTCTTCTACTTGGAACACCCTTAAAACAAAAAAGTATTAAGTTATTTTAATATATATTCATTCGGGCTGGCTGGTTAGCTCAGTTGGTGTGGTGCTGAGTTCTGGGATTCAATCCCTCTATAGGCCAGCCAAAAAAAAACCTCATGTATTTCTTCAGTTTTGAGAGCCCCAATAGAAAGAGACCAGGCAACCTATTTCTTTTTTTTCTAACAAGTGGCACCTAGGCCTCAGAGCCCTATAGATGCTTAATAAGTACTGCTGGTTGAGTAATTACCACAGTTGCATAACGTGACCACTGCATAATTCAATATGATTGAGTAAATTATTTGCTTTTGAAATGGCCTTTAAAATGAGATGATATAACCAACCTCCTTCACATTTTTACATTTTAAAACACTGGGTTGATTTTTAAACATAGAAAAAAAGTATATAAAGAAAAATGAAAAACATTTGATTTAAAAAATGATCAAAAATATTAACAAATATTTCACAAGGAAACATATATGATAAGCAAATGAAAAATATTTTTAAGCACATTTCATCAAACAAATGCAAATTAAAAGAAACAACTTTGTTTTGTTTGCAGCTGGGCAGTACAGGGATCTGAACCCTTGACCTTGGTGTTATAATACCCCCCTCTAGATGGCTCTAACCAACTTAGCTTAACTAGCCAGCCCACAAACAACTTTCTAAGGTTGAATCTGACATAGATTAAACAAAGTAAAACAATGAAGAGAGTGAGGAAAGACAAACTTTCATATACTAGGTATATAAAATAGCACATTTTTGGATATCAATTTAGTTATAACATATGAAAAGACTTTAAAAATCTACTTGCTGATTTTCTGGGGGGGTCTTTATCTTTTAGAGATATATATTTACATATCTATGATGATATGAAATAATTGGAATTTTCTTCAAAATAATCTGGAGTAGGCTGAGCACATATGAAACAAGATTTGCTACAATTTCACTGTTGTGGCTATGTGATGAGTATACGGGGATGTTCTACTTTTATGTATTTCCATTAAAATTTTTTTAAATGAATATTTTCCACAAAAAAAAGCTCTATATACGTATCAACACTTTTAGGAGGAGTTGTTCATGAAATTTTAGTATCAAGGTTGTTCATTACAGTATTCTTTATAACAGTGAAAACTTGAAAACATACTAAGTGTCTAATAAAGGATTAGATAAATTATCAAATGCTATGTAGGTATTAAAAATGATGTAGATATTTAATGACATATAAAAACATTCATTATATGTGGCTAAATTTTAAAAAGCTAGTTTCAAAACAGTATATGTAACAGGCTTCAATTATTGAAAAAAAAAATTATTACAAATACCTAACTGCCCCAAAATATTCATGTACATGTATACTTGTAAGAGTAAACATAAGTAGTTTCCTTTGGGGTAGCAGGATTACAGATACTACTTTATTCTCTTTGCTTATTCTCTAATTTTTCTATAATAACCATGTATTGGTTTAATTTTATTTTTTAATTAAAAAGTGAATTTAAAAATATCAACGGAAGGCCGGCCCGTGGCTCACTCGGTAGAGTGCGGTGCTGATAACACCAAGGCCCCGGGTTCGGATCCTATATAGGGATGGCCGGTTTGCTCACTAGCTGAGCGTGGTGCTGACAACACCAAGCCAAGGGTTGAGATCCCCTTACCGGTCATCTTTTAAAAAAAAAAAAAAAAAAAAAAAAATCAACGGAAAACCCAGACTGATGGTTAACATTAAAATATATGTAAATCAGCTTTTGATCCTCTTTATTGAGCTTACTTACCAGTATTTTTCATGACTGATGTCAGGCTGCTAAGGATGGAACTGATCTTTGCCAGATCCACATTGGCCAGGTTTGGCAAAGCCAGCGTTGGGGAAGGGGACAGAAGAGAAGTATTCACAGGCTTTGGAAGAGGTGGGGTTGCTGTTATGGTCACGGGCACTGGGGTACATGAGGAGGGCTTTGAGATACTTTCTGATGGCTTTGTAGGTACAGAAGTGGACACAGCTGACTTCTCCACAGGTTTTTCCTTCCTGTCCTCCACTGTTTCAGCAAAGAAAAGAGATGATATTACATACTACTACTTTCCAGGACTTTGCTTCCAATGTAAAACACATCCTAAGATTTCCTGATGTGGGATAAAATGTCCTACTCCAGAGAAAACAACCACTCACTTCACGCTTTTTTTTAAAAAGCATACTCCAAGGGCTGGCCTGTGGCTCACTCGGGAGAGTGCGGTGCTGATAACACCAAGGCCATGGGTTTGGATCCTATATAGACTGGTTGGCTCACTGGTGCTGACAACGCCAAGACAAAGGTTGAGATTCCCTTACCCGGTCATCTTTTTTTTTTTTTTAAAAAAAAAAAAAAAAAAAAAAAAAACAAACCCCCCCGGCCAGTTAAAAAAAAAAAAAAAAAAAAAGTCATACTCTTCATAATTTATGACCATTCCCACTTCCCATACCTGCTTAAAAGAAATTTCCCAAATTTATCTTGTATCTCACACTTTTTTTTTCTGGTGGCTGGCTGGTTCAGGGATCTGCACACTTGACCTTGGTGTTATCAGCACCATGTTCTAATCAACCTACATCTCAGTACTTAATGATTTTTTTTTTGCATCTTATTAGTATTTGTGTATTTAATTTATATGCTTCTGAAAGTAGTTATTATTTGGTACACATCTGTGTTTTATATTTTGGAATAATATTTGTCATAAATTGTCCTGTCTTTTTTATTAACCTAGAACTTTCTTGCAGACAGAAATTCTGTATATACTTTATCATGTTTTTCTTTGGCTTCCTGAAATTGTCATATTAGGGGGTGCATTTAAGTACTAATTTGAAACTGCAATGTTTTAACTCGTTATCACTTTGTAATATACTCCTTTTAATGCTTCAAAGGCTATATGGATAATGCATTAAATTCAACGGAAATCAAACTCTCTAATAAGAATAATTATAAAGCCTGGAGCTGTTGGAGAGGCAATTCGCCAATTCAGGTTAATTATAAAAATGTGGTTAACAAACTGTGGCTTTGGAATTCTTGACAGTCAAGAGTGACAGAGAATAAGGAATTCTAGTATAAGTGCCTCTCCTTCTAGAGCAGTGCTGCCACAAAAAAGTAATTCAAGCCACATATGTAAGTTTAAATGTTCTTGTAGCCACATTTTAAAAAAAGAAAGGAAAGAAACATTTAATTTTAATAATATATTTTATTTACCTCAATATATGCCTAATATTTTCATTTCAATAAGTTATAAACATAAAATTAAGGAGATATTTTTACTTTTTTGGGGGGACATTAAGTTTCTGAAATCCAGTGTGCCTTTTATACTTATAGCACCTCTCAAGTTGGACAAACCATATTTCAAATGCTTAATAGTCACATGTAGCTAGTGGCTACCATATTGAACAGTGCAGCTCTTAAGCAATGATTCTTAACCCATGTGGCATACCAAATCCTGAACCACTCTTTTAGAGACAATAATGCTACTTTGGTGTTCTAATCTTATAAGGATTGAACTATCTTCTCATACTTGCCTGTGATATTCATTGGTAGGAAAGTAAACCAGGTATGTAGTAAGTTGTCTATTAACCACATAAAGACATACCAATGATTTTTGACCCATCATCTTCCACGTCTGAGAGTTCCATGTCTTCTACATCACGATTATCTGTCACAGGTTCAGGTGTGGCAGATTTCTCACTCTCCATGGTCGGTGACTGGGATTCTTCACCTCCCATTCCTTGAAAAGGAGACTCAGAACCAGTTGGAGAGGGAGCATCCATGCTTGGGGAAGGGACTGGTGATTCTTCAGGATCAGGAAGGGTTGACTTCAATTGATCCAACTTCTTCTTTAAATTGTTTACTCGGTTAGCAAAGGTTTTGTATGCCTAAAAGAGAAAAAGGAGTTTACTCCTCTGGGAAAAGGACGAAGAAATTACCATTTTGACTCTGATCAGATTTCCTGATTATTATTATAACATCACTGGCACAAAAGAAGAAAATATCATCATCTGTCAAACATGAAGTAGTTTTCTAATCTCTATTTTTTCTACTCCCTATGTGAATATTATCATCCACACAGTTGCTTGAGTTAGAAACCTAGAGGTTATCTGTCATTTATCCTCCCTTGCTCCTATCTATTCATCCAAGCAACCATTGTTTACTGGCTGTCTAAATGTGCTGCTCACTCTTCTAGGTACTAGAGATACAGAGCAATGAGTAAGAAGACATACAAAAATTAATTAAAGGTCAGACTGAGAGGTCAAATTCTGTTGATTTTTTTTTTTTTTGTCTTTTCCCGTGTCCGGCAACGGATCGCAACCCTCAGTGTTGCCCCCGCACTGGACCGGGGACCGGCAACGGGATTGCAACCCTCGGCGTTGCTCCCGCGCCTCGCTCAGCCAGTGAGCGGGAACCGGTCTGCATGTGGGATCCGAACCCTCGGGCGGGAGCGCCGCCGCGCTTCCCAAGCGGCGCACTTATCCAGTGCGCCACCGGGCCGGCCCAAAATTCTGTTGATTTTTTAAAAAAATACTCTTTATTTTAAAGCAGTTTAGGTGTACAAAATTACTGCAAAGATAATACAGAGAGTTCCCATATAATCCATACCCAATTTCCCCTATTATTAACATCATATATTAGTATGGTACATTTGTCACATTAATGAGCAAAAATTGATAATTATTATTAACTAAAAATCTGTACTTTATTCAAATTTCCTCAGTTTTTACCTAATGTCCTTTTTCTAATCCAGGATCCCATTCAGGATACCACAATACATTTAGTAGTCAGGTCTCCTTAGACTCCTCTTGTTTGTGACAGTCTGTTGAACTTTCCTTGTTTTTCATGACCTTGACAGTTTTAAAGAGTACTGATATTTCACAGACTGTCAACTGAAATTCATCTGATGTTTTTCTCAAGGTAAGAGTGGGCTATAGGTTTTTGGGAGGAAGACCACAGAGGTAAAGTGCTACTGTCATCACATTATGACTTACCAATGTTGATGTTAATATCGACCACTTGGCTTAAATCCTATTGATCTCCTGATTGTCTTAATCACCAAAGCCGTAAAGCTGTGTTTTGTTTTGTTTCTCTTTTTTAATAAGAGTCTCAAACCATTAGATTGTCTAGACTGTGATTTCATTTTGGTTGGTCATTCAAGAGCATTTAAAAATATATGTGAATACACTAAAATCCAGCTTTGCGTTTGAATATAACTGAGTAGTTTGTAGTAGACCAATGCTGCCATCAAGAACAAATAGAAAATGGGCTGGCCAGTTAGCTCAGTTATTTAGAGCATGGTGTTGTAACACCAAGATCAAGGGTTCAGATCCCTGTACTGGCCAGCTATCAAAAGAAAAAAAGAAAAGCCACACACACACATCTGTTTGAATGTATTGGAGAGAGGTGAGGGAACCAAAACCAAAATGGCAAATCCCATAGTAGGGAAACCATGAGAGCTAAGCTGACATTCTACAGCTGCCATTTCTCTTAGGGTTCTGCTGAGTTGGGGGAGCTGGGCAAGAAGCTGAGAATGCAGGCAAAAGGACAGGGCAGAGGGCCATTACTAAACAAAGAAAAAAAAAGCAGAGCTTTTAATAGTCTTGTTAGTCTGAATAGATAAAAATTAGAGATTTGAAAGGCCAAAATCCTGATGAAACAGGAAGGAGAGAACTGCCTCAACAACTTTTCCTTCAAAATATTTGCTGTGTTCTGAAACTGCCTGAGAGAGAAGTAAGAAGCCAAGCAGAAAACCTCTGAAAAACAGAATAGGGTTTAATGCAGTCTCATGGTGCTAAGGATAAAAAGACTAGAGCTCAAATCATGCCACGGATGAGGGATCCTAGGGACCACTCCAGGTTCTCAGTGGGAAAATTACATCCCAGAAGATGGAGTGAACCAGAGGTAGACAAAGTCTTACCCAAACTGCAGTTCAGCCTCAAGTCAGTTAGGTTTCAGATTTGATTAATATGGTCAGCCCCCGCAATATCTGCCTAGCAAAAGAAAGGGTGAACGATCTCTGGGGGAAGAGAAATCATAGAGACTCCACAATCTTTCATATTCAGTGTTCAGCATTCGACAAAAAATTAGCAAACATTCTGAAAGACAGGTGCAAATGACTAAAAAGAAAAAATAAACACTAGAAACACACCCATAAAGGTGAAACCACTACTGAAATTATCTGGAAAAAAAAAAAAGTAAATAACTATGATTAATATGTCCTTAAAAAGAGAAAAATCTCTCCCCCTTCCTTTCTTGAACAATTCACTCCAAAACCCATTAGCTGGAGCTGAGGGGAAAGAACTGGTGGCCTAGAGTGAGACAATGGAGCCAAAGTGTGTGAGAAAAACATCTTCATTGGAGGGAGGCATTGTAAGGGACGTTGGAGCCAAAGGAGGACAAAGAGAAAGCCCACAGAGGTAGCTGGGGAGGGATAGAAGTGCTGGGCATTGGCTACACACAAGCAGATTGATTAAACACGTGAAATATATTGAAGATAAACAGAGCAAGGTTTTGCACTTTTAGAAAAAGCAATTAGAAATGAGAAAAAGGGAGAAAACTAAAACAAATCTGTGATGTATTGGAATTAGAGATAAGAGTGCAAATTCATGGTTTTCAATATAAATAGATGTAGAAATAAATATAAAAGCAAATGTTTGTGTATATAGGTTAAATACACACACACGCGCGCGCGCGCGCACACACACACACACACACATATTTCCTAGCTCTGTACACTGATAGGGTCTGGCAGCAGTGACATCCCAACTGCAATGAGTACACCTAGTGCTTAGATCTTGGTTTCTGAATATGGTTTTTCAATAAGAGGCCTTCAATAAAAGGCTTTCAATAAAAGGGCTTCCTGGAAAAATGACTGATTCCAGGGCTGGGCAGGGAAAGTACAGGATAAGCCTGGAATACCTTGTTCCAAAAGTAAGGAAGTGATCAAAAAAGGACGGCAACATGTCAAAAGTACACAGAAAGGAGCTTGAAAAGAGATCCCAGGAGCCAAATCTTGGCCAATTTCAGCATCAAAGAAAATATTGGTAGTAATAAATCAAAACATTGAATAAACAGGACTCTACAAATCCATGCTTATATAAATAAATGAATAAACTGAAAGTCTGATAAGGAACAAGATATTTATGTAGTTTCAAAATACCTCTCCAGAGAAACATTCACTAATTACTACATTAATTTCCTAGGGCTGTGATAACAAAGTATTACAAAACGGGTGACTTAAAACAACAGAAATTTATTGTTTCCTAATTGTGGAGTCCAAAATCAAGATGTCAGAAGGGATGCTCCCTCTGAGACTGGGCAGAATCCTTCCTTGCCTTTTCCCGGCTTCTGTTGGTAACCATTGATCCTTGGTGTTCCTTGGCTTGCAGCTACATCACTCCATTATCTGCCTCTGTTTTCACATGATGTTCTACCTGTGTCTGTGTCCAATTTCTCTCTTTTTATAAAGGATACCAGTTATATTAGATTAAGGCCCACTCTAATGATCTCATCTTTACTTGATTATATCTGCAAATACTCTATTTCTAAATAAGGTCACATTTATACATGTAACTGGAAGTTAGGGGTTCAACAAATCTTTTGGGGGGACAAAATTCAACCCATAACAATTACTTACCAAGGGAAAACTTTACAATGGACAAACCTGGAAGATGCCACAATAATCAAGATATCAAAGGGCTAAGTTTCAATTTAAAAAAAATATCAAATGGAACACTACATGTAGTAAGATAAATCAAACTTGTCTGACAACTGAGAGGATGAAATAAGAATATAGAATCACTTCTGCCACATTCTTTCTAAAAATTCATAATCTGATCCCAAAGAAATATCAGATAAATTCAAACTGGGGAACATTGTACAAAATATTTTATTTATAATCTTCAAACATATTTAGGTCATTAAAGTCAAGAAAAAAACTGAGGAAACGTTCCATATCAAAGGAAAATAAAGAGAGATGACAACCAAATGCAACCTGTGATTCTGGAAAGAATGTTTTGCTATAAAAACTGGTCAATCTGAATACAGTCTGAGGATTACATTATAAGAGTGTGTCAATATATCAATTAATTTCCTGATTAAACAGCTACATCTTATAGTTACGTAGAAATATATGTCCAGTAGGAAATACACGTTAAAATATTTGGAGTGATGGGGTATAAGCAACTTATTTTCAAATGATTCAGGGAAAAAAATAAAAGGTATTTATATTATACTTAAGATATTTCTTTAAGTTTGAGATTGTTTCAAAATTAAAAAATAAAGACAAAAAAACAAAATGAAAAAGAGGAAAAGATGAAGAAAACAGATGAAGACTGAATTTTGCCAGAAAATTGAATTCTTTCTTTCTTTTTTTTTTTTTCCTTTTTGTCTTTTTTCATGTCCAGCAACGGATGGCAACCCTCAGTGTCGCGCCCGTACCGGACTGGGACCGGCCACGGGATCGCAACCCTCGGTGTTGCTCCCACACCTCGCTCAGCCAGTGAGCGGGAACCGGTCTGTATGTGGGATCCGAACCCTCGGCAGGAGCGCCACCGCGCTCACAAGCGGCGCACTGTAGCAGTGCGCCACCGGGCCGGCCCAAAATACCTTATTTATTTATTTATTTATTTATTTATTTTTGAGACCAGCCGCACCACGCTCAGCCAGTGAGTGCACCAGCGGTCATCTCTATATAGGATCCGAACCCGCGGCGGGAGCGCTGCTGTGCTCCCAGTGCAGCACTCTCCCGAGTGCGCCACGGGCTGGGCCCCTGAATTCTTTCTAAAAAGGAATCAAATGGCAATTCTAGAACTGAAAAATAAGCCAACTAAAAATTAACAGATGGGCTTAACAACAAGAAAGATTCTACAGAACAGAATATTAA